ACAAGCTGGCGGTGCCCACGTGCGGCGCCATCCTGCTGGACGACACGTGCTCGCATGTGCTGCTCGTGCAGGGCTTCTACTCGCGTGCGTCCTGGGGCTTCCCCAAGGGCAAGTGCAATGAGTCCGAGCTGACCGAGCTGCACCGCTGCGCCGTGCGCGAGGTGCAGGAGGAGATCGGCTTCGACATCGGTGAGCTGCTCAACCGGGACGACTACCTCGAGCAGGTGGTGAACCGAACAAGCGCGTGCGGCTGTACCTGATCCCGGGCGTGGCGCGCTCCACCCGCTTCCAGCCGCGCACGCGCAACGAGATCAAGTCCATCGAGTGGTTCCCCGTTATGGACTTGCCGACCAACCAGAAGGACATGCCGTCCAAGATGAAGCTGGGCGTCAGCCCGAACAGCTTCTTCATGGTGATCCCGTTTGTGCGGCCGCTGAAGCGGTGGATTCACCAGCGCACGGTTGGCTCAGGTCGCCGGAGGGGCGGGCGGGAGAAGACCAGCAGTGAGAGCGCGCACGAGCCGCGCAAGCAGCAGCAGGCGTACTCGCAGGTACGTTGGAAGAGATTTCGAGGCGGTCGGTGGAGCCCCGCCCAAGCTGGTGGCCGGTAAAAAGCGACCGATTAGAGCTGGTTACTGGTGGAGAGGCTCGACCTGAGGCGGCTGGTGGATGGGAAGGCTCTGTTGGGTGTCGCTGGAAAAGACGGGATCTTCTCTGTTGTGTTTCTTATAGTATTATCTTGCATAGATCTATCAAGCTTCAAAATTGTGACCGTGACACGCAACTGGGCACTTTTTTGTGGTGTGCCCGTGCCCTGTCACGTGCTGTCGTGGGTGCCGTCCCGGACGTTCGCCACCTTTGGATATGATCGTTACGCGGGCCTGTCGCCGCTGCCATCTTCCCACGTGTCAGCCAGCCCCCATCGTTTTTCATAGTGCATAAGCCGGAAAGACGGTCGCCACGGAGTTCGCTGCCGTACTACCGCACGGCCCCTTGCCGGCGGCCGGAAGACGGCAGCACACCCAGATGTGCCCGCCGCCCTGTCGTGTCGGGCTGACGCGCGTGCCGTCCGCCGCAGGCGCTGCAGGACGAGCTGGCCGACATGACGTCACGCGGCAAGGCGCGCGGCAAGGCGGCCTCGCCGCAAAAGCCGCCGCCGGCGCAGAAGCCGGCGCCGGCGGCGGCGCAGTCGCGCTCGGCCCGCAGCCGCGCCAAGTCGCAGAGCAGCTCCAGTCTGGCCGAGGAGCGGCCGCCCGACGGCTTCTCGGCGCCCAGCTGGGAGAACTTCTGCTTCGACACGCGCGCCATCCTGGACACGCTGGCGGTGTAGTGGAGCGTCGCGGGCCGGGACGACGGCGCAGGGGTCGGCTGTGGACGTGAGGTCAAGGCGTGAGGTTAGGTCGGGACACGTAGCCGTCGGATGAGGGCGGTGCGAGGTGATGTGACCGTCCAGTGATGTCCACGCCGGACGACAGAGACGTACTCAGGAAGGGGGTGTTCAGTGTTAAAATTTTGGCTTTGCCTCTCCCCACTCCCCTTTGTAAAATTCTGCATACGCCCCTGCCGGACGATAAGATGATATTGCGAGGTTTATGCGGGACCATATGACCGCTACCGTCTGTTTGGTTCTGTGCGTGACGCCTGTCGTGTGCCGAGCCCGTGTCGCAGGCACTGTTTTTGTCGTGTAGCGCACTTTATAATGTACAGTCTTGTCTGGTGTGCTCCCTTACGGTCGTGAAAGGCCATGGACATGTTTGTTGTATGTGGTTACCCCAAGTACGCCCTGATTTGGACGGGGTTGTTGTGCCGCACATTTCGCCGGGCCCGTGAAATTGCCTCGCCAAGCTTTTCTTTTTTAAGTTATGTTACGTTTCCGGGCCCATTTGATGGTGATCGAATGTGTTCTTGGCATTTAGTCATCAGTGATGCTATCCCCCGTCGTTGGGCCTCTGTGATCGCTGCAACCGTCGACGTTCTAATATGTGACCGACCCAGACAGATAGACTCACCCAGACAGATAGCTGGCGCGTCCAAGTGGTTACAACGCTGGTTTTGTGACCATAACGGCAACGCAAGACAACAGACCGACTTGTGCAACGATCTCTGATGTGCTTATTGTGCGCGGTGCTTTCGCAGAAGGCAAAGCGTGCTGTTATCTCGCGGCATTGGTGCAAGGTGATACAGGCTCGCGAAGGGAGGACCGCTTCACTAGCATTGAGGCAGGCAAGCGTTATGAACCGGGCGGTCAGTCGCATGGCGGCGTACTTGGTGAGCGGCTCGTGGGTGCGGTGGCTGATGAGGTACTATTGTACAATGGGCCAACCTCCACCCACACAAAGCGCGGCACGCACTGCCACGCGGAAGTCCTAATGGGAGGGATCCGGCCGCGCTGCTTCCGGGTACGCCGCGGTTGTCCCTCGACGCGTATCTGCTGAGGAGCTCTTGCCGCGGGCCTGCGGGAGCCGCCGGCTGGCGCTTCGCCCATCGCCACGCGTCGCCTCAGGCACAACGCGGGGCAAAACAACTTGTGGCGGGGGCGCAACTCCAGCTGTTAACCGTGTGACGTGTCCCGCACCCATTCCCCGCTCGTCGCTAGCTGTGCTGCAGTTGTTCCATGGCGCGATCTCGCGGGTGGAGAGGAGAGGTGGAAGCAGCGTCGACTGGGAGCCGTCGGGATCGCTTCGACGCTCAGAAGCCAGTCGTATGCAATAACGCCGTGATTGGGTCACACGGCAGGGGCGTGCGCAGTGAGGCACACACTGTCGAGCGATGCTAATAAACGTCATTCTTCGTCGCCTTGTCCACATGGCTTGCCGACTGCGGATAGCACCATTGCAGTAGAGCCGCGGCGCCCGCGCCGGGCTCCTGTGCGGAACTCTGGTCCCCCCCCCCCCCCTCCACCCCAAGAGCTCGCTGTGCGAATGCTACTCAGCTCGCCCTACAACAACAAAAAACGGATCGTCGCAGCTTGGGCAAAGCATGTGGCCGCCCACGAAATACGAATGGACTAGAACTTGACTTATGGAAACATAGACTTCCATTCGAGCTGGAGACCGTTGATAGTCATCGCGCGTTACGACAGGGTCCCTGCACTTCACGTCTGAGGTGTTTGCAGACACCTGTCCTGTGGGTTCAACCGACACGATCATCTGGTGGATCGCGGCCGGAGTTTCTGGGCGCCATGGCGTCGGCACGAGCACAGCCCACACCCAGTTGCAGTCTCGCATCGTTGTATTAGTGGCCGGTGCGGCGCCGGCCTGGAACTGTGGCCTGCCGGTCCCGACGGACGATAGCCACCACGCACGGCGACACCATCACGCGCCAATGGACCCGTGGAATGCTGACGGCGAGCCGTCGACAGACGCGCTCGCCGGCGATGTGCGTTACGGTTCGGGCCAGCCCGGGGAAATCGCGAAGACTCGCAGTAATTGCACTGAGATCGATGCGGGGCTGGTGAATATTGCAGGGACAGCGACCCACGCATCAATAATAATATGAGTGGGGTCCGGCTGCATCGCAGAGCCCACAACCGATGACGAGCCAGTGACAACAACGCGTTCGCCCAATATGGCAACACCGGTCAAACAAAACAAATACAAATAAACGCTGGCGTTTTCATCGGTCCACTGCCAGCAGTGTCGTGAATACAGCGAGGCTCCAGTCTGATTGGGCAAGTCACATAACCAATGCCGCAGTGAAGCGAGGCGAGGCGAGAGGCCCAGACCCATGGGCTTAGAACGTCGCGTACAGCAGCATGTACACATCACGTTGCTAAAAAGCACACGAGCGCGGGCATCTGTGCAGACGATACAACGGAAGCACATGCACACTTAAATACTTCTGATCAATGGTCCGTACACACAGCACAAACATCGACGGATCTTACCATTATATCATCATTCCTAGCACATGCCAGCAACAGATTGACGAATTGAAGGTCAAACTGTCCTGAATACTGATTTTGTGAGTGCAATTTGACACTTCAAAACCCGAGTAAAATGCGCCACACTAACAAAATGTCGAAAGGCTACGAAAAATGTCTCATAACTGACTAGTAAAGCCAGCATTACGTGCTGTCTTAGAAAAGCACAACAAAACACAAACACACATGTCTTGATAAACGACAGTACGCATGGCCTCGTAGCGTCGTGTAATAACATACTGATAGACCAAGGACTAGAAATTGAAACTCTTTGGTATCTGTACAACGGAATAGGCTATAATTGAAAACCATTCAATTAAAAAAATAATTGTGCTGTTTATCCACAAAATACATCCCTACCCGCTGCTCGCGCAAAATAGTAAACCCTGCTCCACTTTAAAAGCCACAACTAACGCGACAAATAAATTCAACTTCAGTTAGAAATCAACGAACAGCACGTCAGGGGACAGTGTTCACTGCATGCAGCGATCGTGAGACCTCAGCATGATTAAGTAACTGTTAGCAATGCAGACTTGAAATCAGAGCATTGGATTGGCATATCACTCTGACTATTGTCACGCCCTGGAATCCCTCTGCCGCTATGAAGTCCATCATACTTCACCTGCCCCTGACAAAACATCTGCAACACCACAAGACCATTGACGCGGTGACCCGTATCGTCCCGCCTCGGCGAAAGGCTGTCACGTGGCATGTCCTGGTCCCGTGCGAATACATTGGAGACTTGCCTACAGCATGAGGAGGCATTCCTCAACAGGAGAAGGTTGGTGTTCACAGACGGCGAACGACTCCAAGAATTTGATTACTTGGAAGCGTCAATGAGAATTCGTGTGGATGACTAGGTACTGATTTCCGGGAAGCCCTCTATGTCCGATCAATCAACGGCACGCCAACACTTCTATCAACGACAAGCCAACACCTCTATCAACGGCAAACCAACACCTCTATCGAGGGCATGCCTATTTCTGTCACCAGGAGGCCAACACCTCTCCCACCAGCACGCCACACCACCTTTGCATCGGCACGCAACCGGGGCCGGTGCACGGCCGTCCGTCGTACGCTCACCGCGGCAGGCACTTTTTGCCGGCACCCGGCTGCTCACGCACCAGCCGGGCGACGATGCGTTGGTAGTGGCGCTGGTTCTCTTCGATGAACGCGGCACGCCAGGCGTCGGCCGGGTCAGTGAAGCCGGGCTGCCGGCGGATGCCGCCCGGCTGCGGCGCGTGGACCAGGTACAGCTGGTCGAGCACCACCATCCGGTACCGGCGCAGGCACAGCGCCGTCATCTGGCGACCAGCGCCGCCACGGCCGGCTGTTAGATCGCGGTAACGGCGCAGGCACAGCGCCGCCGCAGCGGGCTGTTAGATCGCGGTACCGGCGCAGGTACAGCGCCGTCATCTGGCGACCAGCGCCGCCACGGCCGGCTGTCATCGTGGTAACCGCGCAGGCACAGCGCCGCCGCCGCGGGCTGTTAGATCGCGGTAACGGCACAGGCACAGCACCGTCATCTGGCGACCAGCGCCGCCACAGCCGGCCGTTAGATCGTCTGGTAAATCATTCCGCTATGAGGGCATTCCAGAAAGATCTGGGCATCTGACGCGTGGGACGGTAATTGGTATTAATTCCGTGCAGACGTATGACAGACTACTGTCGATATTGCCATCACCGCATCGCATGCCTGTTGTTGCGGTGACGCAAGTGGAATGTTCGTGGAATGCGAAGGATTCGAGCCCGATCATAAATCCCACGCGGTACAAACCGCGCCAGTTTATCATTCGTCACAAGGTGGATCGCACGCGATCCGAGTATGAAATCGCCATCAGCGGCAACGCGGAGATGACAGTGTCGTTCTGAAGTATCAGCTAGATGCTAGTGTAAAAAGTTGCTACATCGATATCCACGATTAAACGTTACCAAAGCAGCTTTGATTTCATTTTCAAGATACCTAAAAGACTGCCGAGCAAGCACACTTCTGCTTACAATACCCGAGAGCCGTGCCGACATCCCGTCGGCGTCTCACCTGCGTCATCTTGTCCTGCTTGCCCTCCCAGCTAAGCCGTTCGTCGTAGAGGGGCTCGGCGTCCGTGCCGATGTAGATCGGCTCCCAGCGGTGGTACGGCACCTGCCGATACGTGACGGAGAACGCCTGGAAGCGACGGCGCGGCGTCAGCCCGGCACACCGGCCGCCTGGTGACCACTGCGGGCTTCTCTGGCGGGGATGCGGTCCAGCCACAGGTTCGAGTGCGTCAAAGTGGATATGGTTGTGTGCTCCAGGCTGCATGCTGTTTGGGACATGATGGAACATAGAGGGTGAGTGATGATCTCCAGTCGATGAGCAAAAGACATCCTGGGAGGACTTGGGTCTTTCCCCATCACCCTTTACTACATCGCACCACCCTTTCAGTACTGACGACCAGAGTCCACGCATCCATCCGACCGCACCGGCTTTCCACCACTAGCCAACACCAAAGGCGCGCATCACGCCCGCGGACACTCACCGCCACTTTGCCCGGCGTGAAGCGCTTGGTGGTATACTGCGAGACGCCGGGGAACCTCTGGCAGTGTGGACACACGTGTCGGTGGAACCAGACGGCCTCGCCCGAGCGGAGCATGCCCACCAGATCGCTCTTGTTGCCTGGCATCCTCTGCTCCACCTCGAACACCGGCAGCACGTAAACCTGACGGTCAGGGGGTAGAGGCCGGGTCAAGAGGCGCGTACGACCGGTGCCGCAGGGGCGGACAATGAAATCAAGACCCACACACGAGACGTTCAGCATACCTGTCAGATGCACACGCGTTGACTGTTGACGCTCATCTCTGAGAAGGACACGCTGGCTGGCTAGTGTCCACCCCGTGCGAACCCGCCGGTCATCTCACCTGTCGGCTCGTGACGGCCAGCCGCGGCTCCTCGCCGCGCCCAACCCGCGCCATCAGCTGCAGGAAGAGCGCGCTCGTGTTGACCGCCGGCAGCAGTTCGGCGTCCGAGCTGAGCACGAAGTGAGTGCGCGCCGCGCGCCGCGCCGCGTTGCGCGCCACGTTAACCGGGTATGGCAGCCGGAGCCGGCGGCGCTCGGAGACCGGCGCCGGCAGCGGCCGCGCGCAGTCGCCCGGCGCTAGTTGGTCGGGTGGCGCCAGGCGCGTCAGGTTCGGCGCGCGCGCCACGTGGTAGACGAGGTGAACGCTGACGCGGCGGCGGAAGCCGGGCGTGCAGCGACGCAGACGCGCCAGCTGGACCGCGAGCGAACACAGCTCGTCCGGCAGCACGAACACGGCCACGGAGAGCGGCCCGTCCCACCGAGTCAACAGCGCCGCCGTCCGCTCCAGCCGCTCGGCCGTCACGTGCGTGCAGTACGTGACGCTGCGGTTGCCGGTGACGCGCTTCACGGCCGGCGCGTAGTCGTACACCACTCGGTACGGGCCGGTCTCGCCGAGCTGCGGCGAGCCGACCGCGAGCCAGGCGCGCGGGGACGTGCCCCGAGCGCCAGCTGAACAGCTGGGCCGCTGGCCAGGCGAGCGCTGCGTGGCAGCGAGGCGGCGCAGCAGCTGGCGCTTCGTGCGGCGGTGCTCAGTTGACGACGACCACAGCACATGCACGCAAAAGGTGGCGAGGAGCGCCAGCGCGGCGAGCTGCAGCCAGCAGGCGCGGCGCCGCTGGAGCAGCACGGCCATGCCGCCACTGCTGCCACCTGTAGAAAATGAGAGATAGAGACATGTAAGCTGATGAGGCAAGTCAGAGGAAGATCAGGAACATGGTTTAACTGGTTAGCTTTGATTTCATTAACTGATTCAAGTGACCAATTTAACAATATTTTTAACAATTTGGATTAGGTATATACACTTGGACACATACCAGGCTGACTGACATGATATGTCATGACACAGCAAGAAAATTTTGTTTATGACTGTTCAATACCATGCCCACAAAATACTTTTTGCAGGCCCAAAATAGGTGACAGATGAGACATTAAAATATTAAAACAAAATTATTGCTATGAACTATAAATGGTTGAAAGTCTTGAACTGTGACTTTAACTGAATAATGAATGGGAGTGGCCGGCTTACAACAACTCAATGACAGACACTGTCTCCTCATACTGACATATAAATCATGTTTTCCTCTGGAAACCAAGTAGGCAACTGGGTTTACCAAGCTGTCTCTTTTGCATTTCCTTTCATTACTTCATGTGAATTTAAACAAACAACTTTTTCATTACATCATTCACATGATTCACTGAAATGCATGACCCCGCATAGAATTCCCTACTCAAACATCTCTGCGAAAAACACTGTCTGCTAAAATAGACAATTAAGCACTGATACAAAATCATGCTTCATATTCAATGCAAACACATATGCTTCACCACAGAATCTTGAAGGGACGGTTCATACGAACCAGCTCGCCACGTCTTGTCTTAATCTTAAGCAATGTTCCACACCTCCATGCTCCAAACACATTGGAGAGCATATGTCTATCACCAGCTCAATGCACCTGTCCTGAGCCCCTAAGGTCAATTCAAAAATTCACATTTACCACTCAGTCCAGTCTATTTATCTACTTTCCATGCTAAGGAACGACAAATGCAATGCAATATATCGTTACTATGATGCGAAAGATAGTTATCATCCACATTGGTACCGGACACTGCAAGACTAAACTGTTCATCAACTGACATTTTTGATATATCCGCCAACATGAAAATCATAAATGACAACTATCTTAGGTCCATCTTACCATCTTACCTTCAAAATCTCAATTACGATAACGGCAGCGGACGGCCGCCCACCCCAAGTCGTTGATGGCACGATACTGACGCGTCAAGGCCATCCCAAGGAAGAACCAACATTCGTTTTTCAAGGTGGGTCTTTGTGCACTATTTGTCGATTGGTGGACATAGCGACTGAATATGACGTCTGAATATGGTAGGCTTATGACACGGAAGATGATTGACCCAAGTTCACCAAGTGCTGAAAATGAAAAAAAATCGACCATAGCGCATCGATTGGTAAAAGCTGTGTGCCGATCAGTACCAAAGTTGGGGGGCATGGGCTGTCTGAGGCCAGTTTTGATGGCTTCGAGCTTTTTGGGGATTTCTGCCTTGACCCAAGGTCACAATGTGCTGGAAGGAAGGTTCTGTGCCGATCGGTTCCATAGGCTCGGGGCACAAAGTTGTCTGGAAGCTAATTGATGGTGGTTCCGTGCGTTTTGGAGACTTTTGACCTAACTCAAGATCACATGTTGAAGAAATGAAAGATTATCTGTCACATCGCAGCGATTGCTGAAGGTTTTGTGCAGACCGTTCTCAGAGCTTTAGCACTGTCGGAGCCGACCGACTTGATTGGATGCCCTCATCGGGCAGGGGTATTGTGTGGTAGCTAACCACCCTAAAGCAATGTTAGCGAATTTACACTGTCTAATTCTTCGCTTGCGATTATAAGTATTTTTTCCGCTGCCGTATTCTGGCCGTAACGCTACTTACCAGTCGTCTGCAATACACCTTCGAGATTTGATTTGAAAAAAGCTCTGCCTTCCAATGAGTGATTTACATTGCCAGCCGATAGTGGTACCACAATAGCCTCGTATGTACAGGTTCGCACGCATTGCGCACAACAAAATGCATGAAATTCGACACCGTATCTTTGCAAACAGTAGCTTGGTGAAAGGCGCAATTAACGGCTATTACTGCATACCAGCGGGCCGACCGCAGCGGTGATTTGCAAAGTTCGACGGCCAATTATAAATATGATTTGTCTTGCGCTGCGGCACGACCGCGCGTACAGGATATTATTGTGGGAGCACTCCCGGCCGGCAAGATAAGTCGGTTGTCAGCCAGCTTCACCTGTTTTTTTTACCCGACCTCTTGACGGCACATTGCGAAATGTGCCCCCCTCCGTTTCGTTGTGCGATAATGAGCATTCGGTGGCCAGGGAAAAGCGCTCGTAATCTTACGCGAAGCGCTCGACTGTGTGGCAAATGCACATCAAACCGCTGATGTAAGGCTTTCAGTTGACACTCCAGCATGTTTGAATGCCTAAAGCATCTTTTTTTCGACGCCACTTAACAACGTGTCACTTGATGATCACGTGGTGGCCACAGCGGTGATTTGCAAAGCTATGGCAGTCATTTGTTCTCACACGGTGATATTGTGTTGTGCGGTCACACGCCGCCGAAACTCTGCGGACCGCCGCTGCGGCCGGTCCGCCAGCATTGATTGATGTGCCGCCAGGTGGCCGCCGCGCAGGCCCAGGTGCAGCAAATGAAAAAAGCTGCAACATGTTCACAAGCTGTGGGCGCTCGTTAAAACGGGCAAGGCATCAGTGAGACGATACAGAGAGAAGCCCGGGGAGCAGCACGAAGGACGCAGCCGCAACTGCAAAGGTCCGAGAGAAGCCGGCGGGTCACGGCCGATCCCCTTACCAAAACGGACTGGCAATTGTTGAGACTCGTTTCACCATTGGGTTGAATCTGCATTAAGTTAGTATTACAAGTACCTTCAATTTATGTGAGTCGATCACAAAGAAACATCAAAAGTAATTGCAGTATATGTAAAGGCATTGGCAAGGAGCGAGCCTCATCTTTGATAACACTTTTGCACCGCATGAAGGAATTGCAGAATGAGTAAAGACAGTCTGGATAGAAACGAATCAAGCTATTCCAAAGTTATACACCCTAGAATGTCCTTACTTCGCAGGGCTTCCACACCGGGTTGTCTATTCAACGTAGCGACCAGATCCAAGCGACCCAGACTGCCGCAATATTAGCACTGACGGCTCTGTGGGTTAGGGTTCTGTCCCTAAGCTTACCGTGTTATCAGGAAGGGAGGCAAATGGCTCAACGCCACCTCATAGATACTACTGTATGGCCTACACTAGGAAAAGCAACGACCATCCGTGATGGCGCACGTCACGCTGGCTGCTCTGCTGTTCCGAAGGATCAATTTTTCAGCTGCCGATCCATACGCGTTTGCTGCTCTGTTCCCCTATGAAAGCTCATGCCGCTCTTCTGTCCCCTAGGGATCAATTCCTAGTCACCAATCCACGCACACGCATTAGCTGCTCTGCCGTCCCCAGGGATCAATTCCCAGTCACCAATTCACGCGCGTTTGCTGCTCAGCTATCTCTAGGAACCAATTCCCAGTCACCAATCCACACACCTTTGCTGCTCTGATGGCCCAGGGGGTCAGTGCCCTGTTCAGAAGCTGTCCGCGCTAGCTGGTCTGATGGCCCAGGGGGTCAGTGCCCCATTCTGGAGCTGTCCGCGCTAGCTGGTCTGGTGGCCCGGGGGTCAGTGCCCCGTTCTGGAGCTGTCCGCGCTAGCTGGTCTGGTGGCCCAGGGGGTCAGTACCCCGTTCAGGAGCTGTCCGCGCTAGCTGGTCTGGTGGCCCAGGGGGTCAGTACCCCGTTCAGGAGCTGTCCGCGTTAGCTGGTCTGGTGGCCCGGGGGTCAGTGCCCCGTTTAGGTCCCGTTACCTGGTCTGATGGCAATGCGAGTCAGAGCCGTCACAGGGTCTGCCCGCTAGGTATCCTCAAAGACCGGTGGCCACCCGGACCTGCGCGCTAGCGGCTGTGGTGCTGGTGCCGGTCAGCACCGTCACAGCGCCTGCTGCGCGTTTGTCACTCTGGTGGCCGTAAGAATCTGCGCCAGTCGCAGAGCGAGCCGTGTTGGCTGCTCCGCTGGCCGTAGGGACCACCGCTCTTTTTCGGAGCTTACCGCGTTAGTTGTTTTGGTACATGTGCGGATCAGCTCCCAGTCACCAACTCAGCCGCGTTCACTGCCGCGGCGGCCGGAGGGATACTTGCCCCGTCCTGGAGCTCGTCTTTAGCTCGTCTGACGGCCACACGGGTCAGCGCCGTCACAGGGTCTGCTCGTTAGCTACTTTTAGTGATCAGTGCCTAGCACAGAGTCGCGCTAGCTCCTCATGCGCTCGTGCAGGTCAGCACCGTCACAGAGCCCGTCCGTGGGGTGCTCCAATGGGCTTAGTGATCACCGTCCGTCACAGAGGCAGCCACGTTAGCTGCTCTGATGGTCGTAGGGGTCAGGCTCGGGGCCGTCCCGATGGGTGCCCTTTTAATAAAGGACCGGTGCCCCGTCACAGAGTCGGCTGCATTGCCTGTTCTAATGGTTGTAAGGGTTAGCATTGTCAGATGTCCTACCGGCTGGTTATTCCGACTAATTCCGTTGACATTGGGTCAGATATGAAGGTCAGCAGAGGTCAAACCAAGCCTCCACCATAATTCTTTACGTCTTTTTAATCACGAATGTAAACACAATATCGGAAGTTTTTTGTCACCGTGGCCCTCTAAAGGCATTTAACCAGACCGCACTGTGACCTTCAAATAAGGTCACTGGCCTGCAATGAACAGCAGTGATGTTGCTCATAAGAGATCTATATGTCAGAGTTCGTTGCAGGAGGAAGTCTGCGGCACTTCGGACACCGATCTGGTGTTTGACATTGCTTGACCGTATTGGAGCTGAATGCCATGATCCAGGGATGTACAACTTTGACACATGAGGGTGTGCGTGTAGTCCTATCTATCCTCTGAATTCGGTGTATCTGTATTTCTGTTTATTTTAGATCCCAGGAGAGTCGCATTGTCAACCCCACCGCGAGCGCGTGCTATTTACTAAACATACATATTATTGTCAACTTCATGGGCTTTTCTGAATATTGGTTAAGAGATATGTAGAGGCGTAATGCTCTCCATGTCATAGTCAAACTACTGGCATGAAGAGCAACAGCTTGAAGGGATGCTCTGGCCTAAACCAATAATGGTTGGCATAAACCTCATGCAGTGGTCCCCAAATTGAAGTTGCTTGGAATGGCCTGTAACCGGACAACCTGAACAGCTCGATCGATCCGGACGACGA